ACATTTCGATTGTGGGAAACTTCGAAATCCAATCAGCCACCATTAAGGGTTCACTTTAGTTCCCGAGCCAGCACAGCAACATTCGATTGTGGAAACCAATAAAACAATATCTTAACTTCAAAATCCAATCGGTCACCATTAAGGGTTCACTTTAGTTTCCGAGCCAGCGTGGCGACATTTCGACTGTATACAATACAGATCTCTTACGCGCGCGCGGTCGGGTCATCCGAATCCGCTCGGTCACCGTGCCACCAGCGCGCGCGCCGCGGCGCCGAGGACGCGTGCTAGCTTAAGTGCTGTCAAGGCTGGTCAGAAGCGCTGCCGACAGGAGGGCCATCATCAAATGGTTCTCAAGGGTTGTCATGGCGCGTCAAGGATTATCAAGGGCTGTCAAGGTTTGTCAAGGCGCCGTCAGTGAGAAAAAATCAAGACAGCGAAACATGAGACGACAGTTCAGGACAACCCGAACAAAATCACGCAAAACGAGCGTTTTTTCTTTTTTTATAAATAAATAAAACACACACACACACACACGCACACACACACACGACTCGAGGGGGTCTGGGGATGCAACCTGGCCGAGGCACGCACTCCCCGGGACAGACACCTGAGAACGCCCTCAGAGGGTAGATACGTGTGTATATATATATAGATATATATATATATATATATATATATATATAATGAGCCCTGAGTCGCGACCGACGACGAAACTACACTGGCATCTCAACTCCCATGAACCATCGCCCCATACGGACCCGCAGGTGGACCGAGGGAGCCACCCGCACTCGAAGCCCCCGAAAATTTGCGCGACCCCGCGCAGAACTCCCGCCCGCCCGCTCAACGTTAAGAGAGATAAGGCCTGCAGCATCTTCGCTAGCGCATCAAATTATCAATGCCTCCGCCAGGGAGCAGGGGGCAGGCTGCCGACTCAGACGAACCTCATCATCCTACGTGCCAGAACTAAGCTGTTCTAGGCAACGCAAGGCCAGATCATTCGCCCTGCCTCGCATTTGACCGGAGCACGACGACTAGTCGCCCTCGACATATAATGCAAGTCCACAGCTTCAGCCGATAGCCCCAGACCTCGCAGCTGCATGGGCGCGCAATGGTTTAGCGCGCGCCCAGGGTCAAATCTGCCCCGCCGCCCGACGCCGCCAAGCGACCTCTGGGGCGACCCGGACAAATTGAAGCTGATGTTGCAATGCCAGCGAAACTCGAGCGGACGAGTCGCGTCGTCGTCGGCAGCCAAGGAAAGAGACCGAAGATGTCGCGCCCTCTACCATGCCCTAACCAAGACATCCCGCCGCGCCACAGTGCAGGCCGCTCGCGCACCCCGGAACCAGAGGTAGAACGCGTGGGCGTCGAATTCTGCCAAGTGAAACCGACTCTTCTCCCTCCTCGCGCGCTCGGGGAGACGCTCGCAGGATGGCGCCCCGCGAGCAGCGAAGCTGAACTTGCCGGCGTTCAGCGAGCGGCCGATGGCGGGGGAGAATAGGGCCAGCAGTGGAAGCGAAGGCATCATAATACCAAATATCTCCTGCAAACAGAGGCAGCAATCGTCGGCGCGCGCAAGCTCCAGATCAAGCCCGGGCGCGCGCCGGCCCTCGGCCCATTTTAAAACGCTGGGTCCAGCGCCGGAGAGAAGAACCATCGACGACGGACCCCCCCGCCTCACTCCGCGCGCGCCTGGGGGCCTGATCTCCGCCGCCCCGGCGACGTCGACCGCTGCGACGTCGCTCTGGCAGCGAAACGCACGACAACCAATGACCGCCCGCGGCGCGCCCATGGCCCTGCGAACGCGGGAAATCCGCGCCGGGCGGTCGACGGGGGGGCGCTCGACAACGAGTGAGAAGCCAGCTTCATCAAATCCCCGCGTATATAGAGGAATTGAAAGAACGCCATTTCTCCACTTCAATCACATTGCCCAAGACATTGCGACCCTCGACGCCCCCCGCGCCGTTTCTCCATGAACGTCTGCGGCGCTGCCCAAATCAGACCAGCGCAGGGCGCGTCTGCGAGGGCCTCGGCGCCCGCGTCGGCGAGGGAAGGGGCGCGGGTAGAAGCAGGCAGCGTCGAGACAAGAGCACCCCGATCGGCGGGCGCCACCCTGGTCGGCGGGGATGCCATTCCGCTGAACCTACAGCCCCAGGGAAGAACAGCAACTGCGGCGCCGCGAGCTGCTTCTCGATTTCAAGAACGTCAGCAGCCTCGGGAACCGCGCGGCAACCGCGCGGAATGCAACCGGGACCAGCGGCAGAGCGCCGCTTGAAACGCACGCGCTCTTCAAACTCGCCCCGGCCCAAGCGCCGGAAAGGTTCGTGGGGCAGCCGGCCAGTCAATTGCGCGCGGGGGTAGATCGCCAGCCAGCGCTGTTCATCGCGTGGGGCTCGGGCGACTGCTCTTTCCCAGTGGGGGGCCAGCGCGCGGGCCGCGTCGCCGGGGCTTGGGCGGGGGCGCCATTCTCGCCCAGCACTCTCCACCCCCCCCGTCCAGCGCGACGTCTCATGAGTTCCCGGCCTTCTCTTCAGAACCAATGGGCGCTTCTTCGACTTGCCCTGGACCTCCTCGGCCCCCTTTTCCCCCCCACTTCCCCCAGCCCCTCCTCGAACCGCCGCTCTTCAAAGCAGCAATCAGAGAGCGCGGGCCGCGGGGGCGCGCGCCGAAGCCGCGTCTGCATCCACGGGGAGAAAGGGCGTCGCGGCGCCGGGGGGCGCGGGCGACGAGATGCCGCCGCTGCCCCCCCCCCCATCTCGGCGCGTCGCGAGCGCAGAATGGGGGCATTCCGCGTCGTTCGACGCCTGCGGGTTCTGACGGGCCGCCGACACTCGGCCGCTACATTGCCGGGGCCATTTTCTGCGCTCTCCGAATGCGCCCCCGACGGCCATCTGGAAACGCGAGCCCCCTCGGATGTCGCGATGCTAACCTCCCGCGCGCGCCGACCAATCCATTTCGGCGCCGAGAGGGGGGCCCCAGGTTTGAGGCGGGCGATGGTCGCCGCGACGAAAATATGATCCGATGGCGCTCTTTTTAAGTCGGGGCCCCATCCGCGATGGCCAATGCATCCAGCTCATTGACGATTCCCGCGGGGAGAGCGGCGTGGACTCTGCGGAGCCGAGAGCACCCGCGAATCTCGCCCCCGACAACGTCCCCGCGCGCGGTGCCAGGCTGAGTAGATGCGCGCCAGGAGCCGCAGCGTTCGTGAAAGGCGTCGCACTGCGACCGGTCCCCAGGGCCAAACTCCCCTTCCGCTAACAACTCCCCACCTCCCATCAGAACAACATCCCAATCTCCTGCTGCCAGCGCAACGCTGTGATCTGCAGAGGGGGGGCGTCTCCAGGGCCCCCCCAAGTGTAGCTCATGCGCGCTGGCGCGATCACGCGTGTCAGGCGCATGCACACTCGCATTCGCGAGACCCCCAGCAGGCCCCGAGCAGCGCGGCAGGTGGGCGCCCCCCTCCTACCACCTCGATAGGAACCACGCGCGGGAAGAGAACAACCATCCTCAGTGAAACTGTCACATAAGGCCCCCCAAGATTGCGGGGCGTCTGAAGGGGGGGTCGCGGCGGGCGCGGAGCTCAAAGCCCATTCCGCCCTCCGGATCTAGAAATGCAAACGGCCCCTTCCGACATGTAATTCGCGTGGAATGTGGAAGCCAGCAGAGAATTCGGGAAATCCATGGGCGTCTTCTCACTAGAACTGCAGGCGCCAATCCAGATATCAGGGATGTCGCTGGCCAACGCACATTCGTTGACGATTGGGTTGGCAGCCCGGCGAAGAGCAGCCTCAGGAAGCGGGCGACTGAATTCCAACACCACCGGGCGAAAAGGTTCGCCGACGTCACCTAGCTCGATGCGACGACGAAACTGCCAATCGAGACGGTCAGAATCACCAGGACTTGCCGTTCCACTCATGGGAGTGACTGCGCCTCATATATGAGCGCCCTCTCAACGCCGCTAGCTCCTCCTTCATCGTACCAAATAACCCCTGTCACCTCTCTCCTCCTCTCACCCCCAACAATCTCAATATCATGAACGGCCTGAACGAGGACCTGTTCCCGGATACAATGAATATGTGCAATCTTCTCAATCGTCTGCATCGCCAGATCTTCATGAACTGCCTGTCAACTTCGACAAGTCTTCTCAACTTGCAAAATTTGGCCCTGGATTCGCGAAATCTGTTTGTTGATCTCCGTAATGCCCCGATCCAGCTGCTGTGAGAGAGAATCTACAGTGCCCGGCAGGATTCTGAATGAACTCTTTGGAAACGGCGGTCAGGTTGGTGTCCGTCGTGCTCGTACCTGGGGACGGCGGGCCGTCGGAGCGGCCATCGTTACCCTCATTTGCCACAGAAGTGGTTGGACCATGAGAATTCCCTGGCCACGGCATGGGCTGGCGCATCGCCTCCATGGCGAAGGGAGAGACAAGAAACGGGAGTTGAGGAGAAGCGGCCGCCGAGGGCCAATGGGGCGCGACGGCGGCCCGCCCTTGGTGCCTAGCCACCAAGCGCCTCGACAGGTTGGGACGTTAAGAGCAGGCCCCTGTGAGCCAAATTGGCTACGGACGGAGAAGGAGGAGGAGGAGGAGGAGGAGGGGGAGGAGGAGGAGGAGGGGGAGGAGGAGGAGGATGAGGAGGAGGGAAAAAAGTTCCCTGCGTAGCCGTGGTTTCCCCCCGCCATTGTATCCCCTTCTCCCCCGCCAGTCGGGGGCGCGCAAACATGGATAATCGATACATGGATTTGGCGCGCGGTCGCCAAATGCATGAATCGGGGGAGAGGCCCTCCGCAAAACGCGATTTCCGATGGAAACTGGACCCGTTGCTTATCCACGCACCCTTGATACATGTTTGCGATCGCTTGAGCCGGGGTCACCCCTCATCCTTGCCCTCCTTCTCTCATCCCCGCTCAACGTCCTTTGCGCACCCCTCCTCTGGCAGACCCCTTCCGGGGCAGCCCTTCGGAGGCGCCCGCGCGGAAACGCCGGTGGCCGTCGAGCGGAGGACGGGGGGAGCAGCGCCGACCCGGCCCACTTTGACGAGAGCTTGTTCACTACGGGCGGCTCTGGCGTCCTCTCGGGCGTC